TTTTGTGTCTGTAGTATATTGACACAGGATGAAAGTGGATTGAAACTTGTTTATTCTAAACTCAACAACTACACGCCATCTTGGTAACCACTTGGTAACATTAAGCATATACCAATTCAAATGTGTCAGCAGCCTTTCTTCTGAAGATGATATATCTGTCCTCTGCAAAGCTTGCCTTTAACTTTGCATCACTCATGTAAGTCACAAACACCACATCCCCAATCTCTAATTCATGCTGGCCAGCACTCCTCTTTTCATCTGCATAGTCCTTCATTTTATCTTGATATCCTTGATAACGCTCTTTCAACTCTATCTCTTCCACTTGCACCGCTGACAGTTTTGTTGTGATTTCACGATTCAACATTAACTTTGCTGGGCTCATGCCTGTACCTGCATGAGGTGTTGATCTGAAAAAATTCCAGGCAATGCTTCAGTCCACGTTATTCCATGTATTTCTGCAGCTCTCAAGCCATGTTTCAGGTATCTGTGTATCTATCAGGTATAATGCTTGATCCCATTGTTCTTCAGAAAAAGCTCAAACTCTTTTGAAGTGAACTGACGTCCATTGTCTGTTATTATTGTCTTCGGATTGCCAAAGTGTGCGAAGCTCTCTGTTTGGCATTTGACAATGTCCTTGGAAGTAATGTTCGTTAGGATGTTTGCTCCTGGCCATTTACTCTAATAGTCAACCACTATCAAAATGTCACTGTCACAGTTGGGACAGAATTCTTCGACGTCCGTATCCATCCCTAGCCAAAATACTTTTGCTCGTAGCCTCTGTTTAGTTCTGACAATTCCTCTTGGGCATCATGTGCCAAGCCTACCATGCCACAATATTCCTTGTGCATATGACAATTCTGTCTTAATGTGTTGCAACCTTGTCAGGTCCTTATTTTCCGCATCGTCCCAACCTTTTTCAATTGCTGAAGCAACCATTTTAAGTTCTTTATCCTTCTTGCCTTCTTCACACATTTCTTGAAGTGTAAGTAACTCCATCTCGTTTTCAACAAACTGCACATGATCTACTATAAACTTTGTCATCTCATCACTTGRTTCTGCTGGCAGCCTTGACCATCCATCAGCAATGTTATTTGCTCCAGGCTCATGAACCAATGTGAAGCCATAATCTTGGGCTCGCAATGCAATTCTTTCTAACTGTGTCGATTGTGAAGGCTTTGAAAATACAGACATAATCGGCTTGTGATCGGTTGCAACTGTGACATGGCGACCGTATACATACGTGTGCATCTTTTTTTATCCAAAGAGGACAGCGAGAGCCTCGCGCTCAATAATTTGGGCACAACTCTTTTCTCCTTCTGTTAATCCACGGGATGCATACACTTCTGACCTTATTCCACTCTCAGTCTTTTGTAGCAGCACGGCAGCCAAACCAACTGGGCTAGCATCTACT